CAGGGAAAGCAAGAATAGAAGCACCTTTTAAAGCCCATGCTGTACTGATACTAAAATACTTTATTATCCTATAAGAAGTAGGTCTACAGTGAAGTCACAACAGAACGGTACAAATACCTCTGGCTACAAGTGAACTTGTTAACTTAGATTGTGCCTGGACAGGCCACAGAGCTTGCCCCAGGACAAGCAATGCATAAGAGATCAGCCCATGGTGAGAGTCATACAGTTGTTACACAACTGGTATCTAAGCTAGCTAAAAGGCTGACTGATGAACCTCCTGGTCTATCACTGCTATTCGTTATTTTTCAAGAATGGAAATGAATTAATTCACTTTTTAGATTAGGTCAAAACTGATTGCTATTACCAGAGGCGTGACTTCCAGCAAGATAAAGCACACACTACTTCTGTTCTGTCCTAGAAATTGGAATTGCTCCATACCCTTGAGTTATCAGATCCTACATGGCAAAAAAGCAGACTTCTAATGCTACAATAATTAAAGCAAGAGAGGTTCTTATTAGATATAGGGAAAAGCATTTTTTTTTTTTTTTTTTTACTGTGAGGGTAATCAAGCCCTGGAAGAAGTCACCCAGAGAGGCTATGCAGTTTCATTCTTGAAGGATTACAAGACCTGATGGATAAGGCCGAGAGCAACTTGGTCAGGGTGCATAGCTGACCCGGCTTTACACCTCCTGAAGTCTCTTCCTGAATGAATTAAACTGGGCTCCTATAATCCATTCTCCCACCATAATAAAGATCTTCAATACCTTTCTTAGCTGACGTCACCTAGCACAATTTGATGTACTTTCTACTATGTGAATGCTGGCCATCTTCCAGACACCCTCTGTTCCCAAAAAGGAGCTATTTCCTTATTTTACCTTCATAGAAGTAAATCCCTTGACAAAGCTGAGCTTAAAAGAAGCTCATTTTGGCTCTCAAAATTTAATGTTATCACTTCATTTTTAATCATTATTATAAAGAAAATCTGCTTTAGAAAATAGAATTATCCTGTACGAAAACTCACCTGGAGATGAGGAATATATTCTATTGCAATGTGCATAAAGATGTCAAGAGAAGTATTTTCAATATGCATTGAGCAGATTTAGGAACTACTTTCTTAACCATCAGCATCACAGAATGGTTTGAGCTGGAAGGGACCTTAATGATAACACAGTTCCAACCCCCTGCCATGAGCAAGGACACTTCGGGCTGCCCAGGGCCCCATTCAAGCCATCCTTCAGGGATGGGGCATCCACAGCTTCTCTGGGCAGCCTGTGCCAGCACCTTGGCACCCTCATAGTGTGTAATTTCTTGTAATACCTAATCTAAACCATTTAAAGCTATTACTCCACATCCTATCGCTACACTCCCAGATAAAAAGGTTCCTGCCCAGCTTTTCTGTAGTCTCCCATTAGGTACTGGAAGGCTGCTATAAGGTCCCCCAGAAGCCTCCTCTTTTCCAGGCCAAAATATCACCGACAAAATCTGTAGCTCCAAAGGCATCTACTCAAACACAATTTCTGAAGATTGAAGTCAAAGGGATTCCTGGCATTTGAACAACAAAATAACAAACATGTAACCATCAATATCTGCCATCTTTCCAAGCCCTTGTCTCTATAAGAGAATTTATACTAATTCAGCTAATCTCTGATTTGGTTACCTTTATTCGGTCAATTGCCAAAGTAAGCTGAAGTGATTAAAACTAAATTTAAGAAAGCTTAAAGTTACATGTTCATCTAATCAAAACAATACATTCAATTTCAGTTAAATGAACACAGGGAACCAGCTCACCCTCCTCTGCATTTGCCAGATGACTGCCTCTGCTCTGGTGGATAGAAAGGACGAATAAAGCCAGTGGAATGTATCTCTACCTGAACCTACCAATAACATTTTATTTTAATTCCAGACCACACAAGTATCTGCAAAAGGTTCACAAAAAAAAAAGAAAAAAAAAGAAAAAGAATTAGGCCCATGGCTTTATTGAAACAACCTAAGTGGTTTGTTTAGTAACTTTGTAGCTCATGCAGCATCCCTCTCTCCCTTCAGGATTAGCAGCTTTTCAGTATCTAAGGGGGGGATTATACAGAAGAAAGGGACAGACTCTATCACAAGGTCTGTTGCAAAAGGACAGGGGGAAACAGTTTAAAATCAGAAGTGGGAAAATTTAGACATAAGGAATAACCTTTTACAGTAAGGGTGGCGAGGTATTGAGACAGGTTGCTTAGAGAGGTGGTGGATGCCCTCTCCTTACAGATATCCACTGTCAGTCTGGATGGGGCTAGAAGCAACTGACCTAGCTGTAGGTGTCCCTGTTCACTGCAGGGGAGCTGGACTAGATAACCTTTCAGGTCCCTTCCAACTCAAATGAATTCTATAATCACATCCGTTGCTATCACGAAACACCCCTCCAGCCAAGGCCTGCTATCCAACACCAACTGTTACTCTGTAACTGTACGTGGCTTAGGTTGCAAGAGCTAGATCACCACAATTAAGGAGGGAAAAAACAAAAACAAACAAACAAACAAAAAACAAACCCAACACTAAAAATTATTAAACACTGAAATTTAGTTGGAGTGGGATTCGTCGTCCAGACATTTTTCTGCCCAACACCCAGCCGCGGGGCTGGAGCCAGGACAGCACAGCAGCACCTGGCAGCGCGCACTACACAGAATTGGGCCGGGAGCTAAAACGGGTCCAGCGTGAGGAAGTTACGAACGTGTCAGCAGCGACAGCGACACCCGCACGGTGTCCTCGGGCAGCGGCCGGGCCCGGCTACCGCCGGAGGTGCTGCAAGGGCTGCTTCCCACCCCGCCCCGGGCTTACATCCCCCACCGGCCAGGCCGGACCAGGTGCTGGGCTGCCACACCGCTTCCCCTCTCCCTGCTCCCCGGGTTCCTCTTGTTGCTGGCGCCAGGCAGCCTCGTTACCTGGGGGTCCCGTGAGGAAAACGTGCCTAGACATGGCAGGGAGCAGCGGGCCGCTCTCCGCCCTTTACAGCCGGCAACGCGGCGGGAGCTCGGCAGGAGCACCGCCCTCGCTCCGCCTCTCTCCCGGCGGCCCCGCGCAGCACCCGGGAAGGTTGAAGAATCGGGCGCTGCGCCCTCGCGGGAGGACCAAGGTACCCTGAAGTAGTCCTGGATGGGACCTGCTCCTGCCTTACTGCTTCCCGTAGGATGGATGTTAGTTAAGAGTTGGAGCTAAGGGAACGAGAGGATAAATTCGTTTCCTAAATGGTTTTTTTTTTTTTTTTTTCAGTCAGCTTGACCTACTTAATTTCTGAATATGTTAGAAGAAGCTTTCCCTCGAGTTTTGAGGGTTTTTGTTTTTCTTTTTACCCATTTCAGTAAACAACGTGATCTGGGATGCAGGAAAGCAGTCAATAAAAAGATAAATGAGTCATCTGATCGCTCCACGCAGATAAGCAAGGGAAGGGTAAGCTGTGGGTTAATTGACCGCCTCCCTACAAAGCTGAGCAAACTTTGGGTCACAACGCAGAATTACAGAATAGCAGAGGTTGGATGGGACATCTGGAGACCACCAAGTCCAACCTCCTCACTCAAGCATGGTCCCCAGGAGCGCATCAGGTGGGCTGTGGCTTTGAGTGTCTCCTAGGAAGGAGATTCTGCAGCTTCTGGACAACCTGTTCCAATGCTCTGTCATCTTCATAGCACGTTTTTCCTTATATTCAGTCAGAACTTACTGTGTTTGTGCCTTCTGCCCCTCCCTGACACAGCTCCATGCCGTTCCCTCGGGCCCTGTCGCTGTCACACAGAGCAGAGCTCAGCCTCCATGACGCCTCCCTTCAGCTCCTCTGCTCTGCGCTGAGCTCACCCAGGGGCCTCAGCTGGTTCTCATAGCTACTTACAATCTTCATAGTCTTCCTTTGGACTCTCTCTAATAGTTTTATGTTCTTTTTGTGCTGTGGCACTGTGGAGTTTTGTTAGAGAGCTGGGGAAAGGATTTTGGTGTGGAGTCTCCAGGGGTCAACACGTTCGTGAGGTGGAAATTGCTCTCTCTGTTTTCAGAAGAAGCTGCAGTGAAGCAATGCTAGGAAGTAGGGTTAATGAAGGAGGTGTGTGTCGCTCAGGTGGCGTTTATAACCAGGGCCAGTGGCTGGGATCCTACTGGGATCTGAGGGCAGCAAGAAGGAAAGGAAGGGTCATACAAGAATGAGAACTAGTGCAGCTTGTCAGCACAAAGCGTGGGGGATGCATAGAACTGCCTATCACCAAGCCCAGGTCTGGTGTACCGCACTTAGGTCAGCAGAGGAAAGTCTTTCTTCAGCTGGAATTTATAAACCAGAGCCATATACGGTTGTTCTGTAACAACAGGTGAGGCACTTCTGCTGTGTGTAATAGGCTACCATTTAGTCAGCTGGTGGAAATCATGCGCTTCTTCACTTGCAGGCTCAAGTTGAGGGAGCTGCCATCCATTGTGTCCATTTTCCGGGAGTGTACCCTTACAACCAAATTCATAGGCTTTTCCTTTTAAGGCTGAGGCATGGTTCAGCCACAAATTCAAGCTGATTGGGCCAGAAAGATGATGTAGGGGAGGGAAGAACTAGTTTTTGCCCTAAACAGCACTGCACAGTCATTGAATGTATTGTGTGTGGTCAATTAACTGGATGTGTTCATAGAATTATGCAATGCTATGGGTTGGAAGGGCCCTTAAAGATGATTTAATTCCAGCCCACCTATTACATATTACTGTTATATATTACACTTTACGTACTACATATGAGCAGTGCACTTCTGTTTTATGTAAAATCTAGGGAGTGACTAGAAGCAAAATTTGGTACTTGTGAGTAGGCCAGGGATTGTTTGTATCATAGTTTAGAAGAGGAGAGATTGTAACTCCAAATTCTTGTTTACCTATACTCCACTTTCACTGATAACCACATTTAGTTAATTTATCTTTCTCTTAAACACAGTGACTTTTAGTTCTCATTCCACATGAGTAGTGTTGAATGTGTATCGTGCTCAAATACTTAAAAAAAAAAAACCTTGAAAACTATGACATGCCTTTTGGAGGGTAGGAGGGTGAAGAGGGAACAAAGCTTCCCACATAATTTAAAAATGAAAAATACATTTTCATAGTTTACATCCCAGGACTTTTTTGTTGTTTTTCTTTTCAAGAGCAGTGAAATAATTGCAGTGCTAACTTATGGCTTCCCATAGGGGTTTGTCAGGCATCTTTTATCTAAAGAAAGAATTACAACGAAGAACTTTGTATTTACTAGACTGTTAACACTGTTAACAACATTTTATAACTGGCTACTTCACCCTTGGCCTGGACTTCCTGTGCAGAACTTATTGTGGTTGGTTTTACAGGTAGGTTTTCTGTGTAATATTAAACTATCTCAGACTACTGGCTGGTTGCCCAGGCAAGCCAGCGTAAAGAGACCCATACAATGTTGTTTTGTTCAACGTACAATTTTACTAGGTTTTATAAATCAACCTTTCATTTGCAGAAGTGCATGTGAGGAGTTTTAGGGCTATCACTATTTGACAGAACACTTGGTTTCTTGTACCCTAATTGAAGAACCATTTCATTCTGCTTTCAGATACAGAAATAACTATCAGTGATTTCACTGTGTTGCTGAATCCTTGGGCTTGCAACCAATTGTGTGAATAAAGCCGTTGCAGCATCAGGGCTTGAATTAATTAGCATTCCATTATAATTTATGTATTTTTTATCATAAAATGTGCTCTCCTTCTGGGTGCTCTGTCTAGGCTGAAGTCATTCAAATGTACCAAGAACAGGCAGTAAGTATGCCAAAACGACTAGTGCATTTGTGGAGTTCTGCTATTATGGGGACCTTGTGCTTGCTAAAAGCATTTGAAGTTTTATTTATATTTCCTCAAAGACTTAGTATTTAGGTCTGCTCTCTTTTGTATACTTTATAATCTAGTCGCTGCATAGAACACGAGCTGTTCAAGAAGCATGAAATGCCGTGTGCGTGTTGTCTTCTTTGTAGCTGTGTGCTATAGCCAGTTGTCTGTAAAGTCAGCCTGCTTGCTCTCCTGATCATGGGATTTTTGCTTTTTGGGCTAGGGATGGCTGGCTGGAATAAAAAATACAACACATACCCTAGCATTGCCAGTAACTCTAAAAGAAAGTGTGTGGCATGGGCTATACTCTTTTAGGATGAGAAGAGAAAAAGCTAGCTCTTCGTCTTCTGAGATGGGTAGCTTAGTAATCATTTATTTCTAAATGGTAAATAGTCTGCTGGCAGAAAGTTTCTTCCTATCCAATTACCTAGACTCTATTTTTGGTAGATAAGCATCAGTTAAACTCAGCTCCTGCTGAATTGAATGGTGTGGTTGGGCAAGTCCATGAAAGAAGTGTTTGCAAAAGATTGGTGGTGGAAAACATCCCTGTTGGAGTAGGGAAGATTGTGATTCTGAGTTGTGAGTGACCTGTAGAGACCTCAGAGGGAGCTGCCAGTCATAGTTATAAACTGCTTGCTAAGCCTGGGGAAGCCTGCCTTTATTGTTAGATGTTCACTAAAAAACTTGGATGGAGTCCTAGATCTTTACATTGAATGGGGAAAAATTAATTAACTGGAAGTTTCCAGACCAGTGACTAAGAAAAGAGGTCATTTTTGATATTTATAGTATTCCTTAGAGCAGAAGCTGGAAGGAATGAGAGTGTAATCTACCATCTCTGACCCGTACCCTCAGTTGGGCAGTAGTTTACGTTTTAGCACTGTCTCAAGGAAGACTCAGCACGTTGTTAGACTTCTGGCCCTTTGTTTATCTGCTGTCTATTATTTTTCTTACAGGAGAAAGTTTAAGTTGAAACCCTTTTCTTCCTCTCTGCCAGCATTCATTTTTTCAGTTTGTACAGAATTTTGCTGAGGTCAGGATAGAGAAGTATACTTTATTTTTTAAGAGGTTTAATTTTAGGGAGTTCTTGTTTTTGTCCTTCTTCTCACTTGCAGGGAATGTTCCTGCTTACAGATAGTGGGCCTAGCTGAATCCCACTAGGCATCTAATGATACCAGCAGTTGTTTCCTTCTGACTATCTCTGTTTGGCCTGTGGGCTAAGCATGGTGTCAGCAGGTGTCTGAGAATTAGCCCTGAGCTTCTATGGCCTGCCAGTCTTTAATCTCAAACTTCTCAGAGAGATAAGCCACTAGGTAAATGCAGGGCCTCCTCTAGATGAAAACTATGGTGCTGTCTGTGTCAGTGATTTGACTATGAATCTTTTCCTATGTGGTTCACAAAGTAGGAATTCTTTATGTTCCATCAATGGTTGTCACTGTTCCTTCGGCCTGAAAAGAAAAAGTTCCTGAAAGTACTTCCTGAAAAAAGGGATAGAAGAAATAAATCTAATCAAATATTATAAATACCCTCTATATGTAAGCAGGCAATAGTTGTGAAGAAAATTAGGTGAATTTGCTACTGTAAACAGAGACCAACCTTCAAAAAACATAGTTGTGTGTCTCTACCAGCACAGCATACTGTCTACCCAAGCCAGTGTTTGTCTGTCAGTCCTTATGGTTGTGTTCCTTATCACTGTAAACATACAATATATACTTTCGGGGATTAGTTTCTCTGATTATAAAGTCTTTGGCCCTTCAGAGAAATGTATGTAGTTAAGTAAGACAATCAGGAAGAAAACAATAAAAATAGTTTGTCTATGTAATAGGACTGAACTGGTCTATGTGTACAAGTCTGCCTTTCAGATTAGGAACTGAACAGAATTTCTGAAGAGAAAAATGGGAAATGATATGGCACTGGTCAGGGAGAAAACCTGTATACTTTTGAAAAACCTCTGTGCCACGCTGATTTTTTTATTTTTATTTTTTTGAAGTTTGCTCAGTGCCACAGGGTGCATCTGTATGTCTCATGAAACAAGAATAGTACCATTAAGAAATGTTTCCTTCAGCTGATACCAAAATACATTCATATTTCTGGATGTAGTGTTCTGTTAATTCGGAGTGGGGATTAATTGCCTTGAAGTCAGCATGGTATGACCTAGAGAGGAATTCATCCATCATGACAGCAGTACAGTGGTAATTCAAAGTCACTGTGAGAGCAACAGGAGGGGTAAGAAGTAGAC